GCGCTTGGCTGCGCGCTCCGCCTCGCGCGCCGCCTGCAGCGTGGGCAGCATGCTCTCCCCCATCTTCTCGGCAAAGCCGCGGAAGGGAAGGCCCTGCAGGGCGGGGCAGGCAGGCGGAGGAGGGGAGAGGAGGCAGCGCGCGTGAGTGTGTGCGTGTACATGCGTGCGTTGCGCGGGGGAGAAGACGAGGCTGCTGCCGCTGTGCGCCAGCCGCACATCCCGGACGCGGCGCAGGCGGCCAGCGGCGCGTGCAGGCGGCGGCGGCGCGCCTCGAATGGGTCGAACACACCCTGCTGCCGCCCCTGCGCCTGCGGCTGCTGCGTCAGCTGCGGCATCTCCAGCGCATTCTTGGACGGGATGTGCAGGCTGCCCCCAATGTGCATCTGGAAGCTCTGCAGGGGGGTGGGAGGCAGCAGCAGCACGGGTGTGAGGCGCGCGACTGCAGCAGCAGCGGCGTGCAGGCAGCCGAAGTTGGCTTGCGGGGCGGCCGCAACGGCGCCGCCACCTGCCGCCGCCGTCGCCTGGCACTCCCTCCGGGGCCCAGCACACACACCAATGCCTGCGCGGCGGCTGGCGCCGTGCGCACGGCCTGGCGAGCAAAATTGTGCCCCCTGGGTACTGGGATGCAAAGAGGTTTGTCTGACACAGCGATGGCAGCAGCGCCCACCTTGGTGGCCTTTTGGCGCGATGCCAGGGGCAGCGGGTCTGCCTGGCCTGCAGGTTGCTGCTCGCAAGGCAGCGGCACAACTGGCGCCGCAGCCGGCTCTGCCTGCAGCTCGAAACGAGGGAGGCGGCGGAAAGCGGTTTGTGAGGGCTGCAGAGGCACGGACATGGGGTGGACGGGGCCCTCGACACCCTGCTTGGCGCTCACCAGGGGTGCAGCGCACAGTCGGGGCGGCATCAGGCTCCAAGCCTTCACCAGCGTCGCGCTGGCCGGGATTGCTGCCTTGCGAGCCACGGATGTCGCCATGATGCCTAGGGGAGGGAGGGATGGGCGCGATCGGGCCCTGCAGCGCTCCAAGAGCTCGGCTAGCGTCCTTGTTGGACAATCTCCGCTAGATTCTGCTCGCGCTGCCGGCCCGCGTGTTTCAGTCTGTTCCGAAGTGTGTGCCTTGATCCTGGAGGGGAGCGCCTGAGCGCAGCCCACTGCGTGTCACCAGCAGCCGAAACCATGAATCGCGCCGTCCTTGCACGTCTCGTCGTCCCTGCCACGTTTGGGGGTGTGGCGTTCGGCTTCTGGTACACCGTGGCGCACGGCAGGAGCCCCTACGCCGACCTGCGGGCCTGGGCAAAGGGTGCGCCGATGGGGCTGTGGGGGCGGCAGCTGCTGTCTCTAAACTGGCTGGCAGTGCCCGTCAAGCGCCCCAGGCAGCCCGGGGCGGCGCCCTGGACGGGCCCCCACCGCGTCGCCCGAGTCCTGCACCGTCCCGCCTCCCGCCGCCTTTCGCTGTGGGCTGCACAGTCTCTGAGCTCCTGAATTCACGTTTCCCCTGGCGCGCTGCCTGCCTGCGTGCCTGTCTGCAGGTCACACTGCAGATGAGGAGCAGCCACTGAAGGCTGTGACCCTCAAGCTGCGCTGAGGCGGCAGCAACCGCAACGTGGCGGGCGAGAGCCCCACCACGCCGCCTCAGACCCCACGTCCTGTCAAGCAAGGCGGGCCCCTTTGCAGCGTGCGCGCGTGGACCCCTGCCCGCCATCACTTTCACTGTGTCGATTTGATTCCCCTCCGTCTGAGTCGACTCTCCGCTCCCAAGGCTTTTCCACCTGCCCCCTTCCGTTTTACCTCCTGCCGAGTGCGGTTCCGTTGTCGGTCCGCAAGAGATCGCACCTGAAGCTCCGATCTTTTCCATGCCACGCGCTGGCCGATCCCTTTTCTGACCATGGCTGCAGCCCTCCCAGTTTTCTGCTGCAGCCCGCGCCGTTTTGAGCCGAGCGCTCCTGCCGAGAGCTACTTATGCCACTCCCGCCTCCCCTGCTTTTTCGAAGGCTGATGCCTGTTTTCCTTTCTATGAACCCAATGAACGATTCTGCCTCCCCAGTTTTCCTCCTCTGATTACCACCCTTCGTGTGAGAAGAGCGCTCCGGTGGAGAGCCCGCCCCATGCGACCCTGCTTCTCTCGCACCCGCCGCTGACGCGGCGGGGCACCTGTTTCTGATCCAACTGCTTTGCCCCCCCGACCCGAAGTTTTCCTGTTCCCATGCGGCCGCCCCCTTTTGCCTTCAACCAGAAGAGCACCTGTAGAGAAGAGCCTGCACAACATTCTCAGCCGTTTTTCGCCCGCCGCTGACGCGGTGGCTGGCTGTTCCTCAACCTCTGCCTTGCCCATCCAAGTTTTCCCACCACTCCTGCCTTCCTCCTTGCTGGCACTCCAAGCCAAGCGCTCCCCTGTAGCGGGCCCAGCTGCTCCCAGCTGCTGCGGCTCCTAGGTGTGCCGCCCCCTACACGGCGCACGCCCTGTTCCCGCCACACCAAATGCTGCCTGTTATGTATGTGGAGGTAGCCCCACTTTGCCTTGCCCAGACCCTTCAGATCAGATGCGGCTTGATGCCGCGCTGACTTTGCCAAACAGATATGTGTATTTATCCTACTAGGCTCCAGCCCTTGCACCAGCTGTCTCCTTGCGAGCAGACCCCTTTTTTGCGACTGCCACCTGCTCCCAACCCCCCTCGCCTTGTACCACCGCTCGTCATTCTTCATGCGGCTCTGCTTGCCCTCCCAAGTCTGCTGCCTGTGTCCCCCCGCTGCCGCGTGTCGCTGAGCTCACGAAACCAACCTGCTCTGCCCTGTGGCCCCGTCGTGCTCGTCTCCGGGAACGGAGATTAATGTGTTGCAGACATTGTAAAGCAGCCAACAAGATCCGAGATTGGCATGCAATGAAAGGGCAAGAGCAGGGGAGTGCTAGAGGGGTACAAAGGTGGGCAGGGATGCGTTTGAGCATGGCGAGAGGGTACATACAGAGTGACGCTAGGGGAAACCGCTAGGTAGGTGGTCAAGTGGCTGCCGTGTCCTGGCAGCAGCACAAAAAATGAGAGAGATGGGCCAAAACAACAAAATTTCTTTTTGGCAGGCGCCCGCCGCTGCAGCAACGCTCGGCGCCAGCTGGGCGCCGCAGCTGCCTGGCGCTGTCAGGCTCACATCATGGTGGACCGCAGGCGCTTGACCAGCTCCGACTGCCGCGCATCCTCCCGCATCGCGTCGCCCGCCATGGCGGTGACGGAGAAGCTGCCACGCAGCGGGGCCAGCCAGCCCTGCAGCGACGCCGCAAAGCCCTCAAACACCGGGCGCAGCCGGCTGGGCACCTCCTCTGCAGGCAGGCAGGCGGGCAGCAGCGGGCCGCGGTCAGGCGTGCGCAGGCTGGGGCTCTGGCCAAGGCTGCGGTGCCGCCGCTGGCCTGCTGGAGCGCAGCAGGTGCTGGCTTGCGCCAAGGCAGCAGGGCAGGCGGCGGGCGGCAAGGCTGGGCTTGGGCCTGGGAACCGGCAGCGGCGCTGGGCAAGCGGCAGCCAAGGTGGCAAAGGAAAGAAAGCTGCCGCTCACCCGAGGTGTGAATGTCGAGCTGCCTGGCGGTGGTGGCCACCAGGGCGCCGGTGCCCCACAGCGCCAGGATGGTGCCCCACATCATGGCCCGCCCCGGGGTGAACTTGGGCAGCAGCCTGCGGGGCGGCGGGCAGGCAGGCAGGCAGGCAGGGTGAGGCACGCGCCGGGGAGCGGGAGGCAGGCAGGCTGGCAGGCAGGCAGGCAGCAGCCGCCCCCGGTGCAGGCATGCGAGGTACCGCCCTCCGCCGCGGGCTGCCGAGTGCGGCTGCCCGCCGCACCACCAGCCAGCCCAGCCCCACTGTAGCGGCAGGCACGCAGTGCGCATGCACGCCACCCTCCGCGCTGCGCCCCGCACCTGTAGCCAGCCATGGTGGGCGTCTCCATGGCCGCCGCCTGGATCTTGCGCAGGCGCAGCTCCTCGTAATAGGAGGCGCGCGGCGGCGGCTCCTGCGCCAGCCGCTTGCCGTCCGCCACTGCAGGGAGGGGGCCGCGGGGCGGGCGGCGGCAGCTCGGGCGGGCGGCTGGGGGGCGCCGGGGCTGGCCGGGGCTGGCCAGCGGGGTGCGCAGTGCCGGGGCTGGCCGACGGGATCGCGCGGGCTGGCACATTCGCTGGCGGTGGAGCCTCGCGACCTCGGCTGCTCGTGTGTGCCAGGCACAACAAAGAGCCACCCCCTGCAGTGCAGCCCTGTGCACCCCCGCCAGCCGCCTGCCCACCCACCTGAGAAGATGGAAGCATCGTCGATGGACCAGCGGGCTCGGCCCAGCGAGATCTGCGTCCCCATCTGCATGTAGCGCTTGTCGTTCCAGCGCGGCGCTGCAGGCCAGCAAAAGGGGGCGGCCAGGCGGCAGGCAGGTGATGAGTGAGCGACAGGCGGGCGCGATGCGCGGGGGGGTGGTCTGGGGGGGAGCCTGGCGCAAGGCTACCACGGATGCGCGCTGGTGATCAGGCCAGGGGGGAGACCCGCAACCGACATCTGCCAGGCCAGCAGATGAGCAAGGCCAGGCAGCGGCGGCCTGGTGTGTGGCTTGCCTGGCACCAGGCCCGGCCTGTGCTGGTACACGTACTCCTTGCGGCGGTTGACCACCTCTGTTGGTGGCCCGCTGGCGGCGCTCCCCTCCTGCGCGCGCTGCGCGGCCTCCAACACCGCGCGCTCCACCTTGCCCTGCGGGGAGAGGGGCAGGAAGAGGGGAGCGGCAGCGGCGGCTCGGCTTGGTGTGCTTGCGGGGCCAGGTACCGGGGATGCCTGTGGCGAGCCCCGACAGGCTGTGCAGGTGGCCAGGGAAAGGCAGGGGCCGCAGCTAGCGGGCAGCAGGGGGATGGGAGGCAGGCGGCGGCAGGGGTAGTAACGGCGGCGGCGGCCACGGCGGGCCCGTTGCCTGCGCACCTCCTGCACCATCTTCTCCAGGTGCCTCATCACCGCCTGGCTGCCCTCGGTGGCGAACCAGTGGCCCTCGGCGGCGCGCTGGCGGGAGGCAAACGCGCCCAGCGCGGCCATTGTGCAGGGAGCGGCAGCGGTCGAGCGGCGGCGAAGATAGGAGGCCACCCACGCAAGAACCTCAGACGCAGAGGGGTTTGCGAGTCGTCCAGGGGGGGGGGCAGGGATGTGTGCCAGGAAGCGAGAAACGGGCGAGGGAGGCTGGGGGCGGCCGGGGAGGCGGAGGGCAGCAGATGACCGATG